AAAGGCCCGCGCAACCCCCACAATCTTACAAAAAAATCATATAAAATCAAACGTGGGTCCATAGAAAAAATAAATAAATTAATAATTGTATGGCATAGCTATACATACTTTAAACCAAAAACGGATCCGATCGCATAATCGGTGCGGAAAAATTAATTGAGTGCCCCAACCGGAAGTCGGTTGGAGCTCATCTTCTGGGCTTTCAATAATTTCCACAAATAAAGCTTAAAAAAAATATCGACTTGTTTGGTTGAAAACTGTGGGAATGGTTGATGTTTTAATCAAGCAATTTCGCCTTTTGCGAGAGTCCTGGGAGTCCTTAGGAGCCGAATTTTAAAAAGTCCTTTCTTAGTCCACACCTCCTCTAACACACGATTCAGATTAAATTTTTTCCAGAATTTTAGGTCTTATGGTTTGTGCTGGGGGAACATGACGCAAATCGACATCTACTCTTTTGTACTAATACTCGATAAAACAAAAACAAAAATCGTTTATATTCAACAAGAAAAATTATATATGTATATTATAAAAAAAATTATTTTCGAGAAAAACGCATATAAAGTAAGGAAATATATCTACTGCACAACGAAGGTGCGTGCCGTCATCCTGTTATAAGTTCCAAAATAGTTCGAATTTCTTCGTGAAACTTTCATGACACATTCTTAAATATATATATATTTATCTCAAAATGTAATACCTCGGTCATTATGCTGATTTTTCCGACCCTATAAAGTATATATATTTTAAATCAGGGTCACTAGCCGAGTCGATATAGCCATGTCCGTCTGTCCGTCCGTATGAACGCCGAGATCTCGGAAACTACAAAAGCTTCCTACGCAGCGCAAGTTTATTTCAGCCAAGCGCCACGCCCTCTCCAACGCCCACAAACGCCCACTAACGATTTTAAAATGTGTCTGGCGCGCACATCTTTAAAGATTTCTTTAAAGAAGTATTGTTTATTGATTGGCTTAGGTGCCTGGCATACAGTACATAAACTGTCTGCCTAAAGTCGTCGCAACTAGAACTTGAACCAGTTGGACTAAGGATTGCATATGAGGATCTGAAGACTAGAGCGACAGCCTCTGTTGAATGCAAAATGAGTAAAACTTGATTGTAGGAGTCAAAATTGTTACTGATTTTATTGTATAAACTTAACGGTATTTATAGGTAAAAAGTGCATAGGTTAACAGAATAGGTCTAAAGCAAGTGTCGGTTATTATGCATTATGCAAGCCCGGATAGTTACAATTCAGCAGAATAAGCTTGTGCCAATAAGTGGGTCATTGATAATGTTGCTGACGGCTTGACCCGATATATGATACTTCAGAGCGCTGACTTATAACTATTGCTGCGACTGAACATTCTCCCGGCCGTTGAACAAGTGTTCAACCATCGCTAATGCTGAACGCAAAACTTCGTGGGGTAGGTTCAGGTGATGGCTGCTCGTCGTTCTCTTGGTTGGTGCAGGTTGGCTGTCGTGGCTTCCAGTTGACGAATCGCCTTCTGAGACTATATGCAATGATCAATATTATTGATATTGCTAACGCAGCATTGCTACTTGATGATGCTGCACAGTGGTAAATTGATTTGACCAGGCTGTATCCTTTAGCTTAGCCAGGCTTTGTTGTAATGCGAGTTGCATGCGTTTTCGTTATGGAGCTCAGAACACTTGTGCCTGAGTTCCTTAATCCCAGTGGACAATATGTTCATATCGCTCCAATACGGTTTCAAATCATAATACGCAATGATGGTCCATTCCGAAACTGCCGTTCTTGCAGTGCCGAGTCGTTCCGGGCTCTTCTTTAAGAAGCGGGGCAAGCCGTGTGATTGGTCGCTGAACTACGCGAGAACCAATGTTTACGTCTACTACACGTACGTAATTATCAGTGTTGGGAAAGGTACTGTGTTTTTTTACCTAGGTAAGGTAAAAGGTATTGTCAAAAATAAATACCTAGGTAAGGTAAAGGTACTTAAATTTCCCAGTACCTAGGTAAAGGTAAAAGGTATTTATAAGGTATTTTTTATTTTTTATAATTTTTTTTGTTTTGTTCAATGTAATCATTTAAACTTAAAATAAGACTAGTTTTCAGTTTTTAGTCGTCTTAATCAAACAATATCTTTTCATTTCATTTAAATTTAAATGTTTTAATTTTGTGCATATATTTTTAAACCACGCGGCATGAATAATTTTATGCACGTATCACTTCATTAATGTATTTATGAAACCCTCATGTACATATTTGGCGCGCAAAAATTCCGTATGTAGAAACATTGACTATATATTGTGCATATGCATGTATATGCCGTTTGTTTACGTACATACGGCATTTTTGCGCGCCAAATACACTTTGGTTTCATAAATAAATTGATGTAGTGATGGGAACATACATACGTGCACAAAATTATATAAAAAAAACTGCGATTAGTTTTAACTTCACAAAACAAACAATAGAACGGCTGAATTATTAATGCTGCGTTCCGACTATTACAATTCTGAAACGAAACGATACAATGAAACGATACTACAGTGTCGCAGTCAGATTTGGCTATTTTAAATCAGAGCAATGTTTAATACCTATGTAAGTACCTTAATAATTCCAAAGGTATATAAAAATAAATACCTATGTAAGGTAAAAGGTACTCAATTATTTGTATACCTAGGTAAGGTAAAAGGTACCACTAAATTGTACCTAGGTACGTACCTAGGTAAAAGTATCTAGGTATGTCCCAACACTGGTAATTATCTTTGCCAGGATATGTCTTTACTATTTTTCCCATCGGCCAACTCATCACCGGCAGGTTATCTTCTTTTATTAATACAAGTAGCCCTTCTTTGACGTTCTGCGACATGGTCTTCCATTTGTTGCGCGTTTGAAGCTCTTGAAGGTATTCCATTGACCACTGCTTCCAGAATGCGTGCTTGAGTCTGGACACTAATTCCCATCTTTTTACCAATGTTTTGTTGGTTGGGGAGAGATTTACATCGGGTGGGGCCGTTAGTGGCTCACCAATCAGAAAATGGCCTGGGGTTAATGCAGACACATCCGTAGGATCAGACGACATGGGTGTAATAGGTCGAGAATTAAGAATTGCTTCGACTTCCACTATTACAGTGTTAAGCTCCTCAAACGTCAATGATGCGGTGGCTGTGACTGATACTAGTAACCGTTTCGCAGATTTTACTGCAGCCTCCCACAGCCTGCCGAACGATGGAGCTCGGGGCGGTATGAACTTAAAATCCACCTGTCTCTGATTGCAATGGTTGATGATCTGGGCTTGTGCCTTATCCGTGAAGATCGCTTCTTCTAAGGCCTTTAGTTTATTGTTGGCGCCGACGAAGTTGGTTGCATTATCGCAATGGATGGTCTGACACCTTCCACGTCGTTAGGTCGCTTACCAACTCTAGATGTACTGCCTTCGTAGCGAAACAGCAGAAAACTGCAATATACGCCTTGTCTGGTCTCTTTCCACGGATTTTATGGTGAATCCAAATTGGCCCGCAGTAATCAACACCAGAATTAAAGAACGGTCGAGCTTGTGTTACTCGGTCGACTGGCAGATTGCCCATGATTTGTTGCATTAGTTTGGGCCGTGCCTTTGTACACTTGACACAACAATGTATAATGCTCCTCGCCATTGTTTTATCATTGATAATCCAATATTGCTGTCTGGCAATGGCTCTTAATGCCTGAGCACCGCAATGCATGTTCTCTTCATGCATTTCTCGCAACAGCATTCTTACTATTGGATCATTGTAAGGAAGCAAGATTTGATGCTTTGCGTTATACGGGAGTTTAGATTCTTCTAATCTCCCTCAAACTCTGATTAGGCTATCCTTGCCGATCATGGGGGATAGAGAGACGAGAGCGCTCTTTTTGTCCACGGCCTTGTGGGCAACAAGTTGCTTGTACTCACATGCGAAGTCAATTTTCTGAATGGTGCGCAGTATGATAGTACGAGCATGATTTAGTTCACCAATGCATAGGGTGGTTGTACTTGATCAGTTTCTTTTGTAACAGAAACGCATCATATATGCCACAATTCTTTGTAGCTTTCGAAAACTATTGCTATGCTTGCAATTATAGAGTTCTTCCCCTGTCTGACCCGGACATGCTGGAAGACTCACTTGTTTTGTTCGCCGTTCAAGATCACTTAGACCGATTATGGGCATCTTGATCCATTTGTCACTTGAACCGTGTAGAAAAAGTTGTCCATACAGCCAGAGGGTATGTTCTGATAATTTGCTGGCTGCAATTCCTCTTGATAGCACATCTGCTGGATTGTTTGCCGATGACACGTGTCGCCATTGAGATGGATCTGAGACAGCTTGGATTTTTGCTATCCGATTCGAGACGAACGTGTGGTATGCGGCCGACGATGCGTTTATCCAGGACAAAACTACAGTTGAGTCAGTCCAGAAGTATCCAGAAGCCCTCTCGATCGGTAATCGCAAATCCTTTCTTACTCTGTGTGTTAGTTCCGCGCCCAACAGCGCAGCACAAAGTTCAAGGCGGGGCAAAGTTTCTTTCGCGGATGGAGCCACTCGTGACTTGGAGCAAAGAAGTCGTACCGAAATTTGATTGTTTTTGTAGGTAGCTCTTATATATACTGCTGCTCCGTACGCACGCTCTGATGCATCCACAAATGTGTGTACTTCTTGATGGACTGGAACCTTTCCATTATAGATGTGCCTAGGAATTTGCATACTGTTTAATGCTTGGAGATCCGATCGATAGTTCTTCCAATCATTTTGAAGTTCTTGAGGGAGCTCATCGTCCCAACTCAGGTTCAGCGCCCAAAGCGTTTGCATAAATATTTTTGCCTTTACTACCACGGGGGCAAATAGTCCAAGTGGGTCAAAAATTTGTGCTGACTCGGAACTTACCACGCGTTTGGTGATGATTGACGCCTCGCTTTTCTGGGATCGCCCACACAGTTGATCCCTTTGTGGCATCCATACCAAACCCAACGTCTTGACACTGTAGTGTTTCAATGTTTCGTCTAGCTTGACGGTTTGATGGTGTCTGCTTCGGGAACGTCTGTTAGAATTTGCCCATTATTGGAGCACCATTTTCGGAGCTTGAAACCGGATGGTAACAGTATTTTATTTAATTCCCTTTGAATTTGGACTGCTTCCGCAACGCTGTTTGCTCCAGTGAGACAGTCATCTACGTAGAAATCGTGCTTTAGAGCAGACGATCCAAGCGGGAATTGATCCTTTGCCTTCTCGGACAAGTAATCTAAGCATTTTGTTGCTAGGAATGGGGCTGACGTTGTACCGTATGTTACGGTTTTGAGCCGATAATATTTAAGATCATCTGATGGATTCATTCTCCAGACGATTAGTTGATGATATTGATCGTCAGGGTGTATCCACACCTGCCGATACATTTTCTCTATGTCCGCTGTAAACACGTATTTATGAGTGCGGAAGCGTAATAGAATTGCAAATAGCTCGCTTTGCACCGTGGGTCCAGCATAGAGTATGTCGTTCAAAGACTTGTTGCTGGTGGTTTTGCATGAAGCGTCGAATACTACCCTCAACTTTGTTGTACTGCTTTCCGGCTTTAGCACACAGTGGTGTGGAATGAAGTAGTGATTAGCGGGTATATCTGTTTGATGCACTTGTTTCATGTGTCCGAGTGCTTCGTATTCATTCATAAAGTCCACGTAGCCTTTCCTGACTTCAGGTGACGTTCTTCTTTCTAGAGCCAGAAATCTATTCGTGGCTGTTTTCTGTGATGCCCCCAGGGCTGAAGACTGTTCAGAAAATGGGAGTTTCACAACAAATTTGCCATCCTTTGCAACTCCCAAGTTTCCTACGAAGTGCATTTCGCAATGAGCCTATATTGGTGATCGATGCCTTTCCTCGGTTTCAAGATTTTCTGGAGTCCAGAATCCTTCCAATAGTGTGTCAACTTCTTCGTCTGTAGCTGCGGCGGCACAAACCGCCGCTGAATCGTGATCCGAGTAGATCCGTCCGGCAATGATCCATCCAAGTTTTGTATTCTGAAGAACTGGTCCTCCTGTCTTTAGTATAGACTGGTTTGGCAGCAGCAATGAATAGTAGTGTTCTGATCCGATAAGCATGTCAATCTTTCCTGGCTTATCGAAATTTGGATCGGCTAGAGCTATGTTGCTTGGGATTTGTAGGCTTGCCGAATTTAACTGATGCGCCGGTTGATCAGCTATTATGTGTGGTAGGACAAAGGCTTCAACTTCTTGTGTGAAGGCGTTATGCATTGATTTTATTTGAACGTTTGCTCTTGCTCTACTGGTTTTTGGATTGCCTCCAATGCCCTCGATCCGTAGAGAAGTTCCATGAAGTTTCAGTGATAGTACTGAAGCCATTCGTTCGGAAATCAGATTTATTTGTGATCCTGAATCTAGCAGCGCTCTGAAGGTAGCAACTTGACCATTGCTAGCCTTCACTGATACTTTGACTGTGGCCAGCAAGTTATAATTCTTGTTGCTTGCTGCACCTACAGTAGGTGAATGTTGATTGGATGATGCACCTGATGTGGTTTCCAGATGCAACAAAGTATGATGTTTCTTGTCGCACTTAAAACACGGGCGACCACGGCAATCCTTTGCCTTATGGTCATTGCTGAAGCAGTTGACACACAGTCTTTGTTTTTGTACCCAATTAACTCGTTCGGGTATTGTTTTGCTCCGGAAGTCATCGCATTTATAGAGCCAGTGATTCCTTTTGCAAAATTGACAGCATGGTCCTTTTCCAGTACTGGATGATGAGCATGTAGGAACCTTCTGTTCCTTTCTTAATTGTTGTCCCTTTTTTCCTGTTCCAAGAACTCGGATGCGCTGGTCCAGAAAGCTGAGCAGTGTGTCGAGACCCTGTAACTCTCGGGACCCATCTAACGACTGCTCGTATAGGGCTCTGCTTGCAAGATCCAATTTATGCTTGATGATGGCAATCAATATTGTATCCCAACTTGATACATCGATGCCCAGTCCCTTTAATGATGCTAGAGACTCGATAGTTGTAATGTACAACTCTTTTAATGACCTTGGATCGTCACTAACTGTGTTTTGATGCAGGAAACGATTGAGAATCGTGTCTGCCACATGTCGGGGATTGTTGTAGGAATCGACTAATATACTGAGGTAATTTTCTTCCTTAAGATCGATATGTCTTATCAATCTTTCAGCCTCTCCAGTTACGGTGGTTTTTAGGTACCACATTTTCCGTACCGTCGGCATGTTAGTATCATGGACCATGCATTTAAATAAGTCAAAAAACTGAGTCCATTTGAGTAGATCCCCATCGAATTTGGGGATGCTGACTCTGGGCAAATGCATATCTTCATTGCTAGAGGAGTTTGATTTTGCTCCTAAGATATCTTGAATTTCCTTTTCAAGTTTCAGGAAGGATTTCATGTCATATCCTCCTTTGCTTGGATCATCGTATTCTTCATGTACCGAGAAATGGATCTCTTGCGTTTGCGCCCATAGTGATTTTATCAAATCACTTGTTACGCTCTTTCCCGTACCTGAATACTCTGTCAGAGCGCGCCTAATAGAATCTGATATTGCCTTTTGTCGACGACATGCAGATATTAGTTTCTGGAACCCTATCGTGGGATGCTGAATGCTTGCAGGGTTACCAGTTGGGTCTGGAATTACCTCGGCTTGGCTTGTAGATTGTTCCATGCCGTCCCGTATGATAGCTCGATATTTGTCGTATGACTCACGACAGTCGTTATAGAACTTCATGTATAACGTAGTTCTATACTTTTGAGGAATCTTGAGATCATTCGTTGTGAATCGATTCCAAGCGTCATCGAGAATGGTTAGTCTATTTTCATAATAGTTCGGACTTGACTTCCTCTCCGATGAATCTTTCTTGAAGTTGATGATGAATTTAGAGATTTCTTGACTGATCTCCTCTTGCACGTCTAGTGCTTCTTTGACGGCTTGCTCCTCCATGTCACTCATATTTATTATCTTGTGTTAAAACTTCTGACCCGTTGGGAGTGTTTTATTTGCTTGTATAGCTGGATACGCTCGCAACCGAAATGGTCTAAGAAGCTTTTAACACTTATGAATGATTTGGGTGAAATTGATGACAGCAACTGTGGTGCTGAGTTCTCGTATTCTGAGAATGTTTGATTCTGGTTTCAAAGTGTCGCCTGTTGACAACTTCGAGAATGTGTCCGGGATTGGATGATCTAAATCCGTTTACCGGGATCACAAAAAACGATTTTATCAAATCGTTGACGGAGCTGGTCGCCTTGTTGACCAGTCTTCCAACTTCCTGAGTCGACTTTACTCAGGTGTCCTTAATCTGTCGCCTTGTTGACGACTTGGGCAAAAGGACTTGTATGGAAGATATCTCCAACGTTGTGTTCTATGGTGTGATCTCTTGGTGAGATCACGTCGGGGTCACCAAAATGTTTATTGATTGGCTTAGGTGCCTGGCATACAGTACATAAACTGTCTGCCTAAAGTCGTCGCAACTAGAACTTGAACCAGTTGGACTAAGGATTGCATATGAGGATCTGAAGACTAGAGCGACAGCCTCTGTTGAATGCAAAATGAGTAAAACTTGATTGTAGGAGTCAAAATTGATACTGATTTTATTGTATAAACTTAACGGTATTTATAGGTAAAAAGTGCATAGGTTAACAGAATAGGTCTAAAGCAAGTGTCGGTTATTATGCATTATGCAAGCCCGGATAGTTACAATTCAGCAGAATAAGCTTGTGCCAATAAGTGGGTCATTGATAATGTTGCTGACGGCTTGACCCGATATATGATACTTCAGAGCGCTGACTTATAACTATTGCTGCGACTGAACAAGTATAAATGCAATTTCGTTGTGTATATTTATACCTCTCGAAATACCTATGACATTTTTAAAATCGGACAATTCATTAAAAAGTTATACGCAATCAAAAAAATGTATATATCCAACTCCCTCGCACTTCAGCCGAGTGACGGGTATTAGACAGTCGGGACACCAACCCGACTATAGCATTCTCTCTTGTTGGGTATTTATTGTTAAGCTAAAACAAAAACACAAATTCCCACAGCCGCCATTTTAAAAGAAAAAAAAAGCAATGAAAATTGGTTAAAACTATAAAAGAACAATGTAATCAACATGCCAAGTTACGAATTCCCAACACAGTCCCTTATTGGTTAAAAAAAGTCATGAAAAAGATGAAAAATCGCAGTACTATTTGTATCTCTCCCTTAGGTTACACCTCCTGATTTATATAACGATATATCAACATTTTAAGACTGAATAATGATTTTGATTCTCATCTAATCAAATCTAAACTAAAGACAAATATCACAAAACACACCACAAAAAGCACAGTTACACAGCTACAATAACTTCACAACTAAAAATCTAAGTAAAATTTTAGTTTAGGGGAGAGTGGGGCAATTTTGTCAGTATTTTTTTAAAGCTATTCTTTGTTCATCTTGAGACACGTTATAATATTATATTTATAATATTTTGTCTGTCTGTCTGTCTGTCTGTCTGTCTGTCTGTCTGTCTGTCTGTCTGTCTGTCTGTCTGTCTGTCTGTCTGTCTGTCTGTCTGTCTGTCTGTCTGTCTGTCTGTCTGTCTGTCTGTCTGTCTGTCTGTCTGTCTGTCTGTCTGTCTGTCTGTCTGTCTGTCTGTCTGTCTGTCTGTCTGTCTGTCTGTCTGTCTGTCTGTCTGTCTGTCTGTCTGTCTGTCTGTCTGTCTGTCTGTCTGTCTGTCTGTCTGTCTGTCTGTCTGTCTGTCTGTCTGTCTGTCTGTCTGTCTGTCTGTCTGTCTGTCTGTCTGTCTGTCTGTCTGTCTGTCTGTCTGTCTGTCTGTCTGTCTGTCTGTCTGTCTGTCTGTCTGTCTGTCTGTCTGTCTGTCTGTCTGTCTGTCTGTCTGTCTGTCTGTCTGTCTGTCTGTCTGTCTGTCTGTCTGTCTGTCTGTCTGTCTGTCTGTCTGTCTGTCTGTCTGTCTGTCTGTCTGTCTGTCTGTCTGTCTGTCTGTCTGTCTGTCTGTCTGTCTGTCTGTCTGTCTGTCTGTCTGTCTGTCTGTCTGTCTGTCTGTCTGTCTGTCTGTCTGTCTGTCTGTCTGTCTGTCTGTCTGTCTGTCTGTCTGTCTGTCTGTCTGTCTGTCTGTCTGTCTGTCTGTCTGTCTGTCTGTCTGTCTGTCTGTCTGTCTGTCTGTCTGTCTGTCTGTCTGTCTGTCTGTCTGTCTGTCTGTCTGTCTGTCTGTCTGTCTGTCTGTCTGTCTGTCTGTCTGTCTGTCTGTCTGTCTGTCTGTCTGTCTGTCTGTCTGTCTGTCTGTCTGTCTGTCTGTCTGTCTGTCTGTCTGTCTGTCTGTCTGTCTGTCTGTCTGTCTGTCTGTCTGTCTGTCTGTCTGTCTGTCTGTCTGTCTGTCTGTCTGTCTGTCTGTCTGTCTGTCTGTCTGTCTGTCTGTCTGTCTGTCTGTCTGTCTGTCTGTCTGTCTGTCTGTCTGTCTGTCTGTCTGTCTGTCTGTCTGTCTGTCTGTCTGTCTGTCTGTCTGTCTGTCTGTCTGTCTGTCTGTCTGTCTGTCTGTCTGTCTGTCTGTCTGTCTGTCTGTCTGTCTGTCTGTCTGTCTGTCTGTCTGTCTGTCTGTCTGTCTGTCTGTCTGTCTGTCTGTCTGTCTGTCTGTCTGTCTGTCTGTCTGTCTGTCTGTCTGTCTGTCTGTCTGTCTGTCTGTCTGTCTGTCTGTCTGTCTGTCTGTCTGTCTGTCTGTCTGTCTGTCTGTCTGTCTGTCTGTCTGTCTGTCTGTCTGTCTGTCTGTCTGTCTGTCTGTCTGTCTGTCTGTCTGTCTGTCTGTCTGTCTGTCTGTCTGTCTG